CATGCATTAGTTAGTCAAAAAAACACATTTAAAGAAACTGATAACAGATTGCCAGTACCAGCAGAGCCTTCAAATGCCATACACTCAAATCCATTTTCCATTATGCCCACAGTTATTTTCTCATTTAAGCCATGAATTTTTCCAGTTAATCTACGCCAAGCTGACCCTTCCCCCATCGAATTTACAGTTGATTTAGATCACTCTTCTGTTTTAAGATAAAATCAAACCTTCAATGAGTTGACACTGCCCCCACAAAAAAGTTCAACGCATTAAAAAGACATTCCATCTCTTTTACCACCCGGCTCCAACCTGCAAGACACAACCCAGCCTCAGCCACACAAGAAAGCTCACCTCACCTCACCTCCCTTACTTGCCCATAAAATTCCCTCCCACCTCTTCTCCCTTCCCTACACAACAAAACATATATAACCTGTGAGGTCTACATCAAATTACGTCTTTGAGCCTTCCCTACCCTGAGGAAGAACCAATAAAACTTTGTGCTATGCTCTGAATAGTATTTTGCTTATTCTACAAGAAGTTTACTGCTCAAAATTATATTATGTGCATCATTTACCAGTGTATAGATGACTAAATCTAATCCATGGTCATCTCCCTTAGATTGCAAAAACCTGGAAGAAGCCAAACCCATTCATCATGTATTCCTAGCACATAAACAACTGCCTGGCACTCAGGTGCTTAATATATATGAACTCACTGTCACTATTCCCCACCATGTGTTCTCATTTATCAAACTGAATTAAGAATGTTGTTTTTCCAAGGCTATTTCTTTGTGGCCAGTTCATGTTTGCCCAATATGACATGGTGCTACCTATGCAAATTCATCTCCCAAGTTTAAGCCAGGCCATTGTGCTTGGCTCTTTTTCCTAATTATTGCACAGATGTCTGGTGTCAGTTTGATTTTGCTTTCTCTTACTGGATACTCTGGCTACAGATTAAAAACAAGCAAGCAAACAAACAAACAAACACTTCTGGTTTTCCCACAGTTGATTGCATATGATGTGGTGCCATTTGGTGAGTTAAGGCACTTATAAAAACGATTTGGGAGATGAGAGTTATCTTTTGGGGAGCAAATGGACATGAAATGTCATATCTGGAGGAAGAAGTTGCTCTCCTGCTCTCCTCTTCAGCATTCTAACTCTGAAGAGACTATAAATTCTTTCAAAGGAAAAAAGAAATCTAAATAGTCAGCCAAGAACTATTTATGGTGTGTTTATTAATGAAGCTTCTACTCATATGTAGTTTTTTGGTGACTTTTGTTTCTTTAGCCAGTAAAAATGGTGGTGAGGGAAACAACCCAAGGGTCCATTGTCAGGTGAATGGATAAACAAATTGTGCTTGATCTATACAATGGAATATTCAGCAATAAAAATGAATGAACTATTGAAACATGCAACATCACAATAAGTATGCTGTGTGAAAGAAAGCAGACCAAAAAAGAAAAAAGAGAAAGAGAACATATTGTTCAATTCCCATTTATGCAAAATTCTAGAAAGTACAAACTAATCAAACAGTGACAGAAAGAAGACCCTCGATTACTTAGGGATGAGGGAAAGGCTCAGAGGGAAGAGAGGGAGCAATGACAAAGGGTCATGAGAAAGCTTTTGGAGGTGATGGAAATGCTCACTTTCTTGACTGTGGTGATGGTATCATGGGTGTATACATTTGTCAACTTGTCAAAACTTGTAAAATTGTATACTTTAAATATATATAATTTAGTATGTCAATTATACCTCAATGAAGCTGTTAAAAAAGCGGACAGAAGTGAGGAAGAAGGGAATCGGTACAAGAACAGATTATACAGTGTTATTTTAAAAGTGGTTTTCAAAGAAGAGGGATGTCCAATATGCTCCATGCTCACAAAATACCTTTCCAGAATGACATTTTCCTGAAAATGTCATTTTCTAGGAAGACAGAAGTTATATTTTTGAGGGAGCAGCCAGGTTGCAAGCAGATGATTAATTATCAAGGAAAATCGCTGATGTATCATCGCAATTTCACAGTATTTCTTACAGTTAAAACAAAGCTCCTTCGTATTCTGATAAAGGTATTGTGAAGCTTTAATTGATTTGTGTTGGTAAAAGTCCTTGGTTACTGTCATGGAAAATAATTGAATTAAGTATCAAAATATAAATGTACAACTTTTGTTACTATTTTTATATTTGTTTTTCTTCAAAATAAACATTGCAGCGTGCCAACACCTTATTAAATCAGGGGACACATTGAACTCAGGGGCTTGCCCATCTGTTGGTTTAATGTTAAATTACAGAATCTACAAAGATGTTTAATGAAACTTGTGTAGCTATTTCTACATACTAGATAATCTTGTAAATGTCACTTGCCCACTCATTAAGGAGCAGAAATGACTTATGCAGGGTGAACTTAGAAATATAAATCTGTAGGCTTAGTTGTATACTTTCTTTCTGGGAAGGCAGATATTTTTTGCCTTCTTTTGAAAAGAGTAACTGTATCAACTAAGCACCACAGTAAGGAAATACAATAAAACATATAAATGACAATATTGATCAGGAGGACACTGTAGATAGACATTATGCTCAGAGAGACAAAGTAACTCCGAGTTTATTTGAAAGATGTTTAAACAGCAGGCTCTATCTAGAGTAACAGACACGACATGCAGTAAAACAGTGACTCGGTAATTAAGCATCACTCAACAGTGATCCATGCACACTAGGTCTTCAGTAACTGTTAAACAGTATTCATAACTTCAGCACCTGAGATTGTGATTTAACAACAGTGAACAAATCTGGAGATCACAATCCCTCACTATTTGCAAAACAGAGGTAAAGAAGATGTTCCTAAGTTATCTCTATTCCAATCAATACAGACATGATGGTGGAGAAAACTCATTCAAGAAAGTGTTGATCATTCAGTAGAAACAAGATTATTCTTTAAGAGGGATAGATTTTAAGAAGGACTCTGCTGTGGATCTAAGGTAGAGAGAGATCTACAACAAAGGGGATAAGGACTTCCACATTTTGGATGAGAATTTCATTATGAGGCAGGTAGGGACACCTGCAATTCATTATGGTCAACTATAAAGAGTTCTGCAAGAATTTGTAAGAATAGAATACAGTCATTACAAGTCACACGTGGCAATTTAAATTCAAATGTGCATTAATTAGAAATTCATTTCCTCAGGTGCTCTAGCCACATTTCAAGTGCTTAGTAGACAAGGTGTGGTTAGCAGCTCCCACATTAGACATGCAGTATAGAATATTTCATCATCACAGAAAGTTCTAGTGGACAGTGCTGGGTTACAGTGAGACAAACACAGGGATGCTAAATAAGGAACTCTGTAATACGGATTTGAGAACGTGAGTGTACATTGGTTACATAGAGGCCCGTCACTCAGCTCTCCAAGGAGAGAGCTTGGTTTATACTCACCTAGCTTGGCTTAGGAGTTAATAAACAGCCCAGAGGTAAAGCACTCTTTGTGTCCTCATGCCCTCTGGGACCTCAAAAACTAAATGTGTGTTTTCCATAAAATATTAAATCAAGACAAATTAAGACAGAACACTTAATGTGAAATAAAGTTCAGATACTCCTGTTTAAACACAGATTAGAATTTCTGTCAGAACAATGCCAGTGAAAAGTTGACATTCTAATTAATACAATTTACATTATAAAGCACTGAATATCTTTATCTTGCTATTATGAAATGCCCTCTTTTAAAAAAAATCAAGGCTCTACTCAACAGGGAATTGAATACTAAGGGCAGTATTTAAAAACCCATGTACAAGAGGTGGTTGGGGTCACTGACATTTTTACACACGATCAACCCAGGTCTCTAAAATGGAAGCAAAACACTCATCCTCTACAACACGGTTTTGTGATTTTTTAAATCATCCAAAAGACGATTTGCATGCAGCAATAGGATTCTGAGGCTGTTTTTCTTGCAATGATAGAAAACACACTGCAAAACACAAACACCAAAAACTAAAACCCCCTCTTCTCTCTCTTTCCCCTCTTCTCTTCTTCTGTCTTCTCCCTCCCACACTCTCTCACTGAATGCCACAGGGAACAGTCCTGGAACCCTGTGAACTCACATCCATGCAGGGCTCCCACACGATGTTTACTCAATCCAAATTCCGACTGTGTAAGAGGGGCAGAAAATCAGCCCCACAGCTGGGTACCCAAGGATTCGTGTTCATAGCCTTTGTCAATTTTATGCTATCGGTGAAAGGAATAAAGATGAGATTCCTAAAGCCTGAATTTTCATTTCCTATGACAACGTGCTTTTTCTTCATGCTTTATCACACTCCACTACTTGGTTTCCACCCCTTCATAATTGATATCGGCCATTTGAAGCATTCAGTAAAAACCTCATGAGGTTCATCAAATGTCCCCTAGTCTATAATTCTTGCTTCTAACATATTCAGAAGCATATTCATCCAAGTGTTTTCCACTTCCCTTCCTTGGTTCTCCCTGTGCACAGGGATGAGTGTAATGACAGTTGTATTAATTATATGCTGAAAAACCCACATAGCAGCAAAAATGATGGAGATCATCATTTTAAATATTTTATTAAAATAACCCAGTGTAGAACAGATAAAGTAGACCCTCTTGATAATGAGAGGTTCATTAATTTTACAAGAATTCTAGAAAGCTTAGAATGGTCATCAAAATTATGTTTCTTTTTTTTTTTTTAAGAAAAGGAAAGCCTTCAGTCTCTGCTTTAGCAAGCAAGGGTCTAGTAAAATTTTCCACAGTATTTTTAAAATAATTACTCACCTTTCTGGAATAAGTTTTGAAAAAAATAGCCAGAAATATGGAGGATTTAGATTTCATAGTATTACTTGAAATGCCTGTAAAATTTCAGCTTCTGCAGTTTACCCATTAAAACTTGGTGTATTAGCATATAATGACTTCTGATAAGTAAAATTGGTATTCTCCATAAACAAATAAGCAGTGCATTAAAATCCTTCCCTAACTAACAGTGAGAGTAAAACAAGCTTGCCTACCAAGTGTGTCTCCAGGTACAGTTTAAGGCCATCCGTCTCTGCTTTAGGTGGTGTCCAATTCTCAGTGGTTTCCATGGCTTCGTTCAACCATTGAATAAATTCATCCAGCTTGTTTACAAACCCCTGGTGACAGAAAAGGAGAAAAAGGGACAAGAAAATTATGTTAATTGGTTATTTTTTAAAGCCAATCTTAAAAATTCCAAACTTCACCAATGGTAAAATTGATATCACTGTACTCCCATCCTATCCATGCTATACAATAAAATGTCCACTTTTCTTGCCATTGAAATCTATTTAAATGGAAAGAAACTGTCCATGACTCCCTCTTAGTTTTTCCCTAGGAACACTTTTTTGAGGAATTTGGATTGGACTGCAGGGTGTCATTGGAAAAGTGACCTCAAATCATCGAAGCATTCCTGGTGTCTGACAAGCGCCCCCTCACCAAAAAATCAGGTTAGGTCTGCTAGGAACACTCCCTGGCTTTGGCGGATAAAAGCACTCATGTAAAGACAGTGTTCTTTACTCAGAAGCCTATGGAGTCGAGGTGCCTTCACTGAACTGGCAATCTATTTTAAATCACGTAAGTGTCTAAAGGGACTTGGATGAGTTCTACTGACAGCCCAAATGTCTGTGACTGAGTCTCAGTTCTAAGAAGCAAGGAAAGGTAGAGGACCAATGAACAAATGTAAATGCCTAACTCTGGGTGTGTGCTGGACAGAAAGAATTATTGTAGGCTAAGAAGCACAAGTCACAATAATCTTGCAAATTTTCAGATAGTGGTTATAAAAATTTATTGACCATTTAAAAGAACACATCAGTGGAAATGGAAAATATTTTGAAAAAATGAAAGCCCAGCTATGAACCTAAGGGAAGGAAATGGGGCTGGGCATCTGCTTGCCTTGACTGGGTAAACAGCACCACCTGGAGGTCAAAAGGAGAAAGGACAGGCTTCTACATCTGAAGTCACTGAGATGGCTTGGGATGCTATTTCCTTATTAAACTTAACCTATTCTTCAGATTTGCCTTTTGATTAATTTTGATTAATATTTTTAATTCTTACCTGGTGAGTTAAGTTGTAATAAAAGCTAAGCATTCCTCCCTGTTAGGGAGATTCTAGCTTCCCACCTCCCCTCCTCCTTACATATGTAGCCACAAGAATATAAACAGAAATCATGAAAACAAACGAAACTGGAGTCCGTCTGATTCTTGATACCTTTGTCACCTGCTATTTCTCCACCTCCTCAGCCCCCTTCTGTGTGTACTGTCACCAGTGTTCTGTACAGGGGACAGTGTACTAATTATCCCCATGTCATGAGACTTTATTTGTAGAGAAACCAAGTAAGTGCCACTCTATTCACCAAGCCAAGCAACGTACAGGAGATGCAGGAATTTCAATGCCGACAACAAATATTTGATACTCATTTACAGAAGCTCTGCTAGAGTCTCTCTGACATAAATGAAGGAAAATGAGGCTGACATAAGTAACAACATAGAAAAGTGGGGAAAATACAAAATTTTACTTATTTTGTAATATAAATCAAATCCTAGACAACAGATTTTGGTCACTTAATCATTCTGGTAACAAATATTTAATAAGCACCACTCTGTGTAAAGCACACTGCTGGACATTACTGGGAATAAAAAGAGAAATATCACTGCAGTGAAAACTTCAGCGGAACATAAAGCACTGGCCTACTGAATCCAAGTAATTTTAATCATTAAAAACAAAGTTTTACAATCAATAAATACTTGGGACACAGTCCTGAATTTTCTTGTGAAATGTATTCTGTCTGTATGAGAATTCTGTTTATACTCAGGTTTGTTTCTATTCTGAGTATTTGACCTGTCTGTTTCTCTACTGTTCTGAGTTCACACTTACTTACCTGTAGAGTTAAGGACGACTATAAAAATATGATTTTCTTCATGACACAATCCAATGCTGCCGTTGCACTACATGAAAAGCACATTGTACATCCGCTCAACTCACTGCTACAGAATAAATTACAAACCTTTGAAAGGCCACATATTAGCCTTCATCGCTCAAACTCCCATATCTTATCTATTCAGCCTCTCTCCTGTCATTTCCTACCACCACTTTCCTTCCTGTCCCTTTTTGCTGTCTTCTGTTACACTTCTCTGCCTCCCTGCCAACCTCTCCAAGGGCACATGGAAGGTTTCCCAGGCCACCTTCTTAATTGTCTCTTTCTGGGTGGGCCCCTGACCATACTTATATTTGATACATGATCTGAGAGCCTATTGATTGGAGCCTAGCCAGGATTCAACCCTTCAACCCACAGAATAAACCTTGGTCATCCTACTTGGGAGAAAATGGAACAGCCATTGGCCTGTTACCACCAGTTCGCAGCACACGTCCCACTTTCAAATCATTTGCATTTTGAAAGTTCCTTAATGAGGTGTGTTTAAAGAATCTTACTTTTAAACTTTCTCAAACATCAATATCTTTAAAGACTAAGAAGCACAGTGAAAGAGTATGTAAGTGTATACTTACAGGTTTGTGAAAAATAATTTGACAGGGCTCAGCTGGTTAACATACATTTGAAGATTATATTCGCAAGGAAAATATACAGTCGAGTCTTAAAAAAAGCTACACTCATGACAAGGTAAGAATATCCATTATTTCTTTTATTTTCCTACCTATTTCTCTTCTATGACAAACCTAGGTTGGCAAACTATAAACTGGGGGTGGTTACTGCTGCCCTTCAGAAAAGCTGTCATGGTAGCCAGCACAGAAAGGAGAGCATTTCTTGCAACAGATATGGGACCAGGAAACAGCAACACAGTAGGAAACAAGAAATGGTCCCTGCCTTGTGGAGTCGAAAGCCTAGGGGTAATTCTTTATAGAATTACATGATTTTTAGAACAAATTAAAATTGAAACTATTTCTCTAAAATGGGAAAGGGGAAATTTACAAGAGGAAGTAGACAGTTGTGCTGTTAACACAATTCGGTGAAATGGTGCTGATTATGGTCATTTTACAGATGAGGAAACTGAAGGTCAAAGAAGATAAGTGACTAGCCTAACGGCAGAGTTGGGATCTGAACCATATCTGATTTCAAGGTCTGTTCCTCTCAGGTTACCACACTGCCCCCGAGAAACAGCACTCTGAGAGACACATTATGGGACCCAGATGAAGGACAAGAAACATTTCTTGCCAGCCCCACAGTCTTGGCACTGAGATAAAAATTCTCTAAGTCCTCCCTCCTTCACATTCACTATTTTCAGTTAATTTTTCTGAAAGGGGATCTGTGATGAGGTTAGACACCTAACAAGAAATGCTCTTTTTAGCAGGCAAAAATTGCTGTAAATTTCACTTTTAATTTATAGAAAATTTAAACCAAAAATTTAAGGCAGTTATATGCTTGAACAAGCCCATTCTACCCGTGCCTTGATTACAGATGAGTTTGACTCAGTTTAGTCACAGAGATGGCCCTTGGTTCTTAGGAGGTAGCATAGCCCATGATTTGAAATGCTAATGTCCTTTTGGTGCTTGTTATTTGTATGCGTGTGTGAAGGCATGTGTGTTCACCGCCAAGAAGCATGCATGTTTCTCGGTGGACAGAGAAATCAAGTGTAATGTCTGACCTACTCCAGATCAAGTTAGTTGCCTTCAGAGAGGGACCTGCTGAAAAGCACCAAAAACGTGAACTATTTTCACTATAGTTTTGAAAGTCAAAAAGGTCAGCCTCTGCTGCCGGACTTTTTAAACCATTCAAAAGTATATACCCCTTTCTTAGTATTTCAAGATGAAAGGATATGGTAAATGATCTCGGCTGAACAATGCTAGCTGAAACAATAAGTAATCTTCATACAGCACTCACTAGGTGCCAGGACCATTTAAAAAAGTATTTTACATACTATAGATCATTTGAGTCTCATAAAGACCCTGAGAAGTAGGTACTATTGACACCCTCATTTTACAGATGAGAAGACTGAGGCCGGGAGAGGTGAGGAGATGTGCTCAAGGCCACATAGCTAGAAGAGGGTAGACTCAGCACTGAATCCAGAGAGCCTAACTGGCACCACATGACGTCATGAAAGCCCAGCTGACGTAACCATTTGTCTAAGTCCCTGGCAGAAATTAGACCTTGAAAAAACATTTCAGTGAGGATTAATTGTAGGGGGAGGGCAGGAGAGGTTGTACTAAAAGAGAAAAAAACATGCTTACTGTGAACCAGTGTGGATAACATTAAGAGAACAGTTGCTACAACCAAACAAAATTCAATTAGATTCTAGGCTCTATCCATGCCTTATTAACAATATAAACTAAAGGAGTTACTTGATATCTCTCAACCTGTTTCTTTACCTGTAAGAGAGGGGTAGTAATATTCATCTTGGGTTTATGTGAGGATTTCAAGAGAAAATATATTGCAAAACCTAGAGTAAATCTAGGGCTTGATAAATGATTTTTAAAAATCATTCTCAATCAACAGGTTCCAATTTGATCTTTTATGCCACCAGCTCAAAACTTTTTGATTATTCACTGAGCACACAACACTGCTAGGTGCCACAGGGAGGATGGAGAGAAAAGTCCCCCCACTGCCACAATGCAAGAGGGCACCAACGGTTCTGGGCATTCAGAGGAGGGAGTCATGAATTCCGTCTCAGATCATCAGATGAGGCAACGTGGAGGGGCAGCATCTGAACCTGCAGGTTAGCAAAGATTTCCCAACTTCCTTATTCCAGCAGTGGGTTTGAAGGGGATCACAGTTCTCTGTTAACAGCCACAAGTTTTAAGAATAATCTGGCTTAAATTTTCAAAACAAGACACATGCTTTGGCACCAGTCTTTAATAAAGGCTACCAATGAGTAATCGCAATCCTCTTACCCAATGCACAAGGAAGCTTTGTTTAGGCTCTGATAACTGGTAAAATTAGAACTCCACTTAGAATCAAAAATACGCATTGAAATTTTATATGTATATATGTCAACATATGTATTTAATCTTCCATGTTTGCTTAATTCTTATACATAGTTCTTATATAAAATGACTAATTTCACTTTTTACACAATAGTACTCAAATGCAATTTACCCTTCCTAACCACGTATCTACGTACTTAATATTCTACCAAGACGCAGAAGCTCAAGATAAAATGAAATGGAG